GGGCTAAAAATTACATATGTACTTCAACCAGCACAAGACTGAAAGAGTCATCGTCCTGCCATTTCATTAAAAAGTAGCAACTGATTTATCTGAAGAGTCAAACCAGTTTGTCCAGTTGTATTTAAATTTAGCCTCACTGACTACAGACTAAGTGCTACCTCAGAAAAAAAAAAGTTGTGGTAATAGTGTTACTAAATATATGGATACAAAAATTTGACAACATCTGTGCCTGAAACATTCTGGCATTGTGTCCTATTAACACATCCTTTAGGATGTAGTGCGTGAAGCATGAATTAATCAGCCAACATAATTCTAGTTAGTGATAATCCTGGACTTTCCCCTGGCTGACTCAGGCTGGAGCTACCAGTATTGAGTTTGTTACTGAGTCACTGCACTAAGGATACGTTCCTAATATTGAGGAAATGGCTACAACGTGAAAAGGTTAAAGTTAGCCCAAATAAATTACAGAGATCAATTACTTTTGGGAGTTAGCACCAGCGGTATTTTGATATTATAAACATACCAAATTGTTTGAAGGAGTTTTAGGATCTACAAAATGTAATAAATGTTCCTGTGGTAGTTGGACAGCCATTCATCTTATTTCATGTCACAACAAGTCTGTTACATACAGTCAAGGCATCTGAAGTCTTCCCTTCCATGTTCACAACTTCAAACTCTGATAAGGCCTCCTGGACAGACCAAAAAGTCGCACCATAATAAATGCAGTGTCCACACTGTAACTGCGTCATTAAACTTGTAAGAATACAGTAAACATCCGGCTGATAGCTGCCAGATGTCCTGTCTTAGGCTCTTATAATGTCTGCATGTTGACCTCACACACACTGTAAAATTACTTACACTGGGCTTCTCAGGCTGCAGGGTCTTCCCTAAACAGCTTGACTGTTCCTCCTTCTGCTCTACGGTGGGATGTAAACAGGGCTTACCTAAAATAAGCCACACCAACACCAAGGTTAATTCAAGTTTCACTCAAGTAGAGAAGGATGCCATATAATTACAGCATTATATAACAATATGTCTACAAAGATAAATTCATTACTACCACCAAGTATGTGAAACTTACTTTGTGCCTCGGTCTGAATCGGCCCTCCCATACACAGACTGGCAGCAAAGCTGGAGGACTTGAGGGCCTCGTTGTCTCTTACAAGTTCCTCCACTCGCTGCCGAAGCCTTGATGCCTCTGACTGAGACTCTTCCAGTAAATCACCTGCAAATTTCAGAGCAATCTTGTCTCTGTCCACCGGCACTTCACTTGAATTTGACTTGATTTTTCAGCAAACACAGCTGAGGCTAGAACTATCAGCACGACCAGTCATCAAGTAAGATGTGATAGTAGTTCAGTGGGAAATTATGTCTAAGTAGTGCTACTTTAATGAGTCACAAAAGGAGCAATCAGGCCATTCACATTACTGGCATGCTAGTTTTTGAAGATCATCAGGTTTTACTACATTCCATCACATTTACTGGACAACAGTTTCCCTCCTGTATTTGTATATTTTGAATAGAAAATCAGTTATGTCATCTCTAATGGACAACATCATGATGTCTTTGTGGGTACATTAATTTAAGTTTAAATAATTACACATTTAGTGCTGCTATAAAATGCCAACTGAACATGGTTTTCTGTTATAAATTTTACAAACTACAATAAAGAAATGAATGTTTTTCTCTATATATTTACCATTCTGGTAAAATAAAATCCTCAGTTTAAGACACGCTACAGATGTTTAACGCCAAAGAGCAGCTGGCATTAGGCTTTTGTCCACAGTCTTGAGGTAGCCATACAGTCTTTAGGAACCTACCTAAGCTCTTAAGTCCCTTCATTCGCTCCCTCAGTATGCTGTTCTCCTCAAGTAGCTGTCGATAGCTGCTTCCCCCCATGGCCTCTTCCCTGGCCTTGACCTCGCTCCCACCTGGATCATAGATGCGGTACGGAACTTTCCCATCCATTGCCGTCGCTCACTTGTTACACATGATTCTATGATCTGTGGAAAAACAACACATAAAACACATAGAAAGTACCGGAAATGATTCAACAGAGGATTAAAGAACACATTTAAAACCGAAAGAGAAGCTGACCTTTACAGAAAACAAAAACTGCTGATAGTAAAACCTTTAAATACAAAGGACCGAGGATCTGTGTCTACAACGCTTCAAGATAAAAGAAGCAACTGGAGAAAGAATTTTAACAATTTTCTCATTGCAAACAACCATATTTGAATCCCAAGATGAAAGCACACCACTCATAGAGGCCATTTTAAAGTATAATGTAAAGAACAACCAACATCAGACATTCAAATGTTCATGCAGAGGAAGTTAACAACTGAACAGAACCTTTGTCGGTACAGTATGAAGAAAACTATTTGAACATTACCTTTTGGATCTCATAATCCTAATCTAGAAATCTTCTTGAAATACAGTGAAGCAATATTACAACCACATCGAAATAACAAACTGTTTCAATTACTCCATGACTGTAAATTGAATAACTATCAGCCACTCAGACATCCCAATGCACCTACTGTACTCACTGTCGATCACACTTTATTATTTCTAGGACAAGTGTAAACAAACAATGAAGGCCAGTGGGGAAAAAAAGATCAACCAATAGCCCCGAGAGGACAAAAGCACCAACAACATAACGATAATGCTACCATACCCTGCCAAAGTAAAACATATGGCAAGAATGTTCCAACGTTTGTCATGGCTAAACGTGACAACTACATATCCGATACAATAAAGGACAAAAGCAAAAGAAAAATACATAAAATTACGTGAGTCATGCCAGCAAACATCTACCCAATAGAAGAGAATCAAATACAGCACAATCTAGGAAGAGATAGATACCTTGATTGGCTGAAGAAGGCTAATATTAGTTTTCGCTGTTGTCATGCAAATTGATAGCAACATCCTCGTTAGCTGTCGGCTAGCTTACACTAGATGACAGTGCGGGACAGTAAACCTCTAACTCTTCTTATTTACCCACTACAAATACTTATTATCATTACGGTAATTCAGTCGTAAAGTGGAATTAAATGGCAAAGAACAAAGAGATGTCTTTTGCCTAGGTACCTTTCAGCTCGCAGTGGCCTCTCGTCTCTCTCTGCCCAGACATCTATTGCGGAAGTGGTCGACTGCTCTATGCTGTAACCTGGGAAATTCCACCTCGCAACGTTTGATGTAAAATTTGATTGACAGCTCGGCGGCCCAATCAGAGTACAGCTCTCTGTCAGCGGTGAACCAATGAGAGCTACTGACCGTAATGTAAACACTGGAGCAAAATGCTGCACATACATACACTCATTATGATATAGCTTTTATCACAATTATGAGCCTTTCTAAATACGTAAATGTTAACATTTATATATAGCAAAATGGCCTATATGACACACTGGCAGGGGTGAGTAAAAACTGATCATAAAATTCAATTAATCAACCTTTATATAGCAATTTAAAACAACTAGTAGTTGATCATAGTGCTTTACAACAATCAAATATAAGCTACAGGATCAAATATAAGCATCAAATAGAGTAAAATAGAAAACTATGTACAGAAATCCAAAGCAAGAATAAATTCAGTCACACTCAATTGTCAATTGTAATCTATTTCAATTAAAGATCTTTTTCTTCTTTTCATTTGAAACCCATGCTCCAGGCCTGCCACAAACCTGACTGAATGACTTTTTGTCTCATTGATAAATCTAGAGTAGGGTCTGTCGGGGGTTTCTGTGATTGCATCACATCTTTCCTCTAGGCTTTGCTCAATTTGCACTGCACTTTTTAGGTCCACACTACAGGTTAAGGAGAAATTCTTGGTATGGGAAATAAGAAATATGATGTTCACATTATAATTTGGCCTGCAAGACATGAATGGTCTATTTTTTATTACTGATTAATTTAAAAATATCAGAAAAAAATGAAAAATGCCCCCTACACCCACAGAGTTTTTAAACTGCTTGCTTTGTCCACTAACCAAGATTGAAAAGCATTCACTATGACAGAAGAAGAACAAATTCATATTTGATGAACCAGATTTTTTTAAAGAATTTTCTTTAAAAATCCTAAAGACGATAATCAGACATAATTGATTACCTAACATATATGAATATCATACTAGTGCAAGGCCAACACAATGTTATATTGTAGCCACATCATTTATTTTTCCAAATAACCCAGATAACTGCTACTAATTTAGTGAAAATATCAAAAGCATTCACTACACCTCGAACATAACATCACCAAGCCAACATATTTGTCCTTTTAGGTCTATCTTCATTATTAAACTATACAATTTCAACTGCACTCGGACTACCTAAACTAAGTATAGATTAATACAAAAAGTATTGCAATTTAAATTTACATAATTTCCATTAGATGTTTTTTGGCTTTATAGATGTGCTTTTACAAATCTGACATTACTTAGATTTAGGAGTAACATTTGTTTTTTATATTATGTCACTCAAGTTAAGAGGAGTTTGCTAAGAACCACTGTGTCATATACAGTCATATGTATGTTTGACTAAATTGTCAGAACTTTATTGCAACTTTATAGAACAATAGTGACATCTGGTGGGATTAGATTAACAGGGGTGTTAAATAATTCATAATTCCCCAAGGAAGAATTATGAAAACTACTGTTTGGATAAGTGGAAACATGGCATGCTAATAATGTAATTTATGTATGACCATGTACAGTTAGACTGAACCACACAAGGGTAGCCTACTTGATGATCCAAAATAAATGTTATGGATCACACGTTAAAAGACACCACTGGTTATCAACAAAGATACACTAAAGATTTTAGATTTCAGAACATCAACCTTGGAGGTCATGTCTGGAAGCATTCATAAGTACAGACTGATGGTGTACATCAAGAACTGCTGGGTAACACACCATACAATTTGTTTTCTCTTCCCACTTACTCCCCCCCACCCCAAAAAAACATCTTAAAGAATTTTCTTTATTGCACAAAGACCTGAGAGCAAGCAGATGACATATGAGACAGGGTAATGATCAGTTTGAAGCCCTCAGTGTGACAAGTACAGATTATGCACCTCACCCTGCTGAGACACAAGGACAGTGTGGTCTCCTGTCTCCTAGCAGCAGAAATCAGCAGCAGATAGTCATTAGCTCTGTGCTACTTAATACAAAATGATCTTTGTTAGCTCACTAGTGACTCTAGTTGTCCTCCCCAGGCCCTAAACTGGGGACATCCTCGCTGTGAAGGCTCTATCACTGTTTAAAACATTAGGATGAGATGTGCTCTGGCAACAGATATACTTCCATTTGATATCTAAGAGGTTTTTATATAACTTTTTAGAGGAAATGTAAACTCTAGACTTTACCAAGACCAAGAAACCAGTGTGCCCAAATGTCAAACAATGATTATAATACCCTTTTCAGCTATGTTTTGTTTCATCATCAATTTTTTTTTCTTTAAGTATCTAAAACATGATATTTTGTACTTAAGATGGCTTTAAAATAAACATAATGCTGCAAATGCCACACAATTACAGAGGTAATGGCAATTTTTCTGGCATATAGAGCAGAAATAAATCTTTTCACTATGCCACCTTTGCCTTCCATGTTATGCTCCACACAGAGGACAATGCTCATTTCACTGACAACATAATGTTATTTTAACCTGCCCTGAATGAAAGAAAAAAATGCCACAAAAAATGATAACAAATCTCAACAAATGTCCTGTTAGTACGTATCAAATGTTAAAACAAATAAACAACTCACCCAGACATTCAGCTTGTGTAAGAGAAGCACTTTTAACCCTCGGAAATGGGTGAATGGGGGGAAGCAATTTTACTGCGAGGCTTGGGGAATTCCCATAAATTGCCTGATACTGAATGCTCAAACTGAACAGAACCTGGTGTGTGTCCAACTGTGTGGTGTCTTTACTGAGTAACAAAACATGAGGAAAAAAAAACAATATATGTCATTCATTTTTGCATAAAACCCTGTAGCATGTTGCACACATCAATGTAAGTCAACAAAAGAGGCCACAAAACATTTGACAAATGAGAAGAACACGATGAAGAAAAATATGCAAATAACCTCTAATATATTAACTTGTATACACAGTGCATTGCGTGATCACATTGCATTGCAACACCCATAGCTCTCTGAGGACTTAACAGCTTTGAATATGTAAACTACATCTATTTAATTCATGCTGTACAAGCTGTTCTGATCAACACCGCATTGCAAAGTTCCCCCAACCATCAAAAGGGAAATTCAAGAAGTGTACATTTTGACATTGCCTGCATATTAACAATGTGCTACTGAAGTAATCTCTTTATCTTTTATAATTATCAGCAAATAATGCGATTTCTGGTTGGGTGTGCCATTAAAACCGACTGATTGCTGTAGACTCTATTTGTTGCCTTGGATTTTGGTGTACTGCAGGGGATTTCCTCACCGCATACATCTTTTTTTCTTCTTTCCTCTTTTAACTCAGACAACAGCTGCGCTCACACATAGGCAGTGAACTGTCTTGTGCTTTTTCTATTTCATCAACAAGCAGGAGTCCAACAGAGGCACATGAACTGATGTGCACTGTTATTTATTAAATGTGTCAGTGTATAGATTTCTGGTCTATAGTCAGACAGCTGAGGAAGTCAAGCTATAACTCTGCAATGTGTCTAAATGTAAAGAAGCAGTGTATATAGAAAGGCTAACAAGATTTTATTTAGATGTAGGCCCTGCAACATTATCTGCTGGCTGCTATCATATTATTGTTACATTATTCTGAACAAACTGTTATTCTTTTGTATCAGCCTTTGCTTATACAGCATTATGTACAATAACTTTTGGATACAAGATTTAAGATTGCTAGGCAAAAGCACTGGAGTGGCAGATTCCTAATGGTAAATATTCTAGTTCCCATTCTGCTATGCCCGGTATCAATACAGTTAATAAATGAACAGCCCTGTCAAATACAAACCATGGTACCCCACCCGTTAAACATACTGTTCAAAAACAGGTACAGCCACAGGATGTGTTTTGATGTAATATGCATTAAATGGTACACTAAAAAAAGTATAATGTGAAAAGAGAAAGAGAAAAGACAACACTTTATTTTATTTATTAATCTCAGTAATCATTGGACAGCCAATTGTCTGAAGGCACTGAGCACTTACTAGTCACAAAAACCAAGTACGTGTGAAGCCTGTTTCTACACTAAGGTGAACATCTTCATGTTACATATGTCTCTGTAAAAAAAAAAAAAAAAAAAGAAAGAAAGACACTGTCCTTACAGACAGGACAGTCAGACATGAGACAGATCTGGCTTGGAAGGCTGGGAGGTCATAGACAATAGATACTGACGTTAACCACCACAGTTTCACTCTGTCTCGTGGTTTGTCTCCAAAGTTTGTGACCGAAGCTGCAGGGGATATGACAAGCTTAATCTTCACCTCCACAAAGCACCAGCAGGGTTTTACGGTAGTCTCCTGAGGTATCACCCTGAACAGTGATGGAAAACAAACATAGAAGGAGCGTGTATTCAGGGAAAATACTGTTTTCATCATGTTTATGTCTACTGATACTTGGTCATCACAGAGCTAAACTGGGACAAGCAGAACTTTGAAAATGGAAAAAAGCAATTAAGTGGAATAAAAATGGAATTACCTTTTATATCTGCTGACAGATGCAGATTTATTTTTGTTTCATCATCAATGAGTAACAAAACATGAGGACCATATGCATTAAATGGTACACTACGTCTCTGTAAATTCCAAAGCTCAGGACTCTAGAGGTTAAAGGAACAGTTCCTTATTTGGGGAATCAACACTTGCTTGGGAGTTAGATGAGGAGATTTGGATCACTCAGATGTTTGTACAGTAAATATGAAGCTACTCACAACAGCTGGTTAATTAGTTAGGATAAAGACTGGAAACAAGTGCAAGCAGCCAGTGTGGCTCTGTTTAAAGGTGAAGAATTGACCTCCCAGCATCTCTAAAGCTTTAAAGATGCTAGTAGGTGGAGCTGCAGTATAGAAATGTGATATGTATACTGTGCACAGGCTCATCTAAGACTCAGGAATAAAGCAAATCTGTATATATTTTCCAGACCTATTCTTTGGAATATTTTTTTTAAATGTACCTGTTTGTTCTGGGGTGTCAGTGGCATTAAACATTCTGTACACTATTTGAAATACACAGGCTTAATGTCTGCTAGAATCAGCATCTCCTTCTGAAAGTGACAACCTAAAAAACACATGTAAAAAGCTAAGCAGAAATACACAACTATAAAAATGCAATGTACAAAAGACTGTATTTTTTCTACTAAATACACACTTTAGTATAAACAGTATATCTCAGTCCTTGCTGTTGCAAAATCTGGTAATATTTCTGTCAAAGCCAATCCAGGGCACCCTACTTGCTAGCCTGTATTGGTGTCATGGTGATTTCATCTGTAAGTTATTATTGAACCGCTTCTACTTCCTGTCTCTGCAGCTGTCAACCAATTGCACAGCGGATATAGAGAGGAAGTTAAGCACAGAGGGAAATTCCTAAACAGCTGTGCAGTAGCCACAGAGCCACAGTCCACCACAGAGAGCTATAGATTACCGTACCCCACCACAGCAACAGAAGAAGGATGTGCAACCTCACACACAGCAAGTAGCAATGGCTGTGAGACAAAAACTTCACAAAGACACATACAGTGAGGAACAGAAGTATTTGAACACCCTGCAATTTTGCAAGTTCTCCCATTTAGAAATCATGGAGGGGTCTGACATTCACATTGTAGGTGCATTCCCACTCTGAGAGACAAAATAAATAAAAAAATTCAGGAAATCACATTGTATGATTTTTAAAGAATTTATTTGTCTTGCACTGCTGAACATAAGTATTTGAACACCTGAGAAAATCAGTGTTAATATTTGGTACAGAAACCTTTGTTTGCAATTACAGAGGTCAAACGTTTCCTGTAGTTCTTGACCAGGTTTGCACACACTGCAACAGGGATTTTGGCCCACTCCTCCACACAGATCTCCTCTAGATCTGTCAGGTTTCGGGGCTGTCGCTGAGCAACGCGGAGTTTAAGCTCCCTCCAAAGATGTTCTATTGGATTGAGGTCTGGAGACTGGCTAGGCCACTCCAGAGCCTTGATATGCTTCTTACGGAGCCACTCCTTGGTTATCACCCCCATGCTTCACAGTAGGGATGGTGTTCTTGGGATGCAACTCATCCTTCTTTTTCCTCCAAACACGACGAGTGAAGTTTAGACCAAAAAGTTCTACTTTGGTCTCATCTGACCACATGACTTTCTCCCATGCCTCCTCTGGATCATCCAGATGGTCTTTAGCAAACTTCAGATGGGCCTGAACATGTGATGACTTGAGCAGGGGAACCTTCCGTGCAATGCATGATTTGAAACCATGA